CAAAGTGGGTTCCTCGTCATCGAACATGACATTACTTTTGTTAAGTCAGGTTTAAATTATTGTATGTGTTCTATTCAGTTATCAGTTTGTATTTGTATGTGATGCTTTAACCCTTGAGAAAGATGTAATCCAAAATGGTGGGTTTTCATTTCTTTCTGGAGTATGTTTGTCATTTTTTTTTAAACATGGTTTCAATCCTCCAATCTGCTCTGCAAAGCTTAAAAACTGATAGGTTTAGAATATTTACAAGAGTAGAGTAAGAAAGCTTATTACAGAGAAAAGACAAAAGCTTTAATTGAAATTATAACAAAACATAGTGTCTAACCCCGAAATAAATGAGAAAAAATTACAAGTAATGATATTGCCTTACTGTACACTTGTATGGTACTTAAAATATTAAAGAAAATATTAATTCAGAGTAGAAATAGTTGATGAACAGAATAAGAAAAAGTACTTGTATAATTTAACATGTCTTTTAATTGGCAATATTTTGTGGTTTTTTTAATCTAGAAATTTTGGGCATTTAATGATCTTGAAAAAAAAACATTCTTAACCAGTTGTTTTTTTTTTCATCATGATAGAGCAATTTTATTTGCAGTTCTGATATATCTTTTGTTGATTAATATTAACATTATAGTTATCATCAATTTTCAGAATGACCATGTTATACAGTGTTTGGAAAACGATGGAGATATTTCTCCTGGAAGAGTTAAATATGTACCATTCAGATTTTTTCCTCTTGAGGCCAAGACCTATCTGGTTTGTTCAACATGAGTTTTTCTCTAGCTCTAACGAGATCTGTCTGAAGGTTTCCTAGTAATTCTAGGTTAATATATAAATGATAACTCAGGATCTTACTGCATTTTCTATTTGACCAAATGTTTGTTACATTTGTAGAAATATGTTAATTTGATTGAGTTAGAATAATGAAAATGTTTCTTAATGTGAAATTGTTTCTTATAAATCGTGCTCAAGCTCAAAAGATTCAGTTGAAATTGTAACAGAAATAAATTATTTATAATGTTTTTTTACTGTACACAAGTACTGTTGAAAGGTTTAAAGGAAAGATAAATTCAGATTAGAGAATTAATCCATATAGTGTGACACCCGTTCATATGCAACCTAACTAAAAATTATTGTTATATTAAAAACTTAGAACTAATTATTATTGAGACTTTAAGGTTTTTGCCATCAGAAAAGAATGAATTGTATCTTGTTGCACCAATGATTCATAATTCCAGACTTTCTTGCAACTAAAGAAAAGAAACTTGAATACATTTCTGTTACTTGTAGTTCCAGTCCCAGTATGAAGTTCAGCTAGTTTTGAAATTAGTTAAAGTTTTGTGTGTCTCCTTCTAGCCAATAAAGTTAGTTTGTTTATTAAAGAGATAAGATGAAATCATAAATACAATCCAGTTAGGTGCAGGAATAAAGATTTATTATAGAGTTGGTAGACACTATATGTAGGGATGGCGAAGGTATTCAATAGGCATAATACAGATATGCACACTAAAAAATCAACAAGGACAGAGGATTTTACTTTAAAAGATGATTGCCACTCACTTTCATTTGTTTCTTTATTTAACAAAGCCAAAAACAAGGCAAGAAACCATCGCTAAGATACCAAACCATCACTAAGATACCAACCCACCAAATTGTTCATCTTCCTTCTTGTTTCAGTCAAGATAACTCTCCAACTACTTTATCACTAATGTCAGTTTAAACCTAAATCCACTCTGTGTGTTACTGAATAGTGCTCTATGTCATCACTTAGTTGTAATAACTAAAAGTAATTTAAAAAATCGTAATTCTAGTGTAAATGATGTTATCATTACCTCTTGAAGTTAGCTTTTTTATAGAAATCTGGTGTTCAATTAAAAAGCTGAAGTACATGGTGAAACAGGAACTATCAGCCAATAATAGATGACTGTAACACGTTGAATACACAATGATTTGTACACAATACAGTTGGTGTCTTTAGTGATCGAACCCCTATATAATGTATGAAGTGAAAGAGTAAAAAAAAACAACACATATAATATTAGATTTTATTACACACATTCATAGAATACACTAAAAAAATGACAGAAAACAAGTAATAAAAACATTTTGTAAATGTAAAATGATGTAGGAATGGCAGTGCCAAAAAGAATGCAAACATAAATATAGGGATGATAAAGCTATACATAGGTCATCCTGACATGATTTTCAATATTATAAATTAATGTTACACTGTAAAAAGCATACTTGACTTTAATATTAGTGCAGTTGGAAGTTATATATTCCTGAATGTCGGTATACAGTTTCTTTATTATAATATAATGGTCACGTCAGGATAGACATCAATGTATTTTAACTAAGAGCCTAGGACTTATATATAAGGAAAGTCAAGTTGAGTTCAAACATGACTTGGTTATTACAGACTATTACTACAAGGGCACTTGAATTGTACTCGTGCACATTACAGTGTAACATTAAATTTTAATATTGAAAGTAATGTAGGGATGATCTATGTATAGCTGTATCATCCCTATATTTATGTTTGGACTTATATATAAGAAAAGTCAAGTTGAGTTCAAACATGACTTGGTTATTACAGACTATTACTACAAGGTCACTTGAATTGTACTCGTGCATTTTACAGTGTAACATTAAATTTTAATATTGAAAGTAATGTAGGGATGATCTATGTATAGCTGTATCATCCCTATATTCTTGTTTGCATTCTTTTGGCACTACCATCCCTACATCATTTTGCATTTACAAAATGTTTTTTATTACTTGTAATGAACATTAATTACTCATTTATTACTTTTGCAACATATCAAGCCATTTAAAGCACTTGGAGGTTATAATAGATAAAACAAAACAATACATTTACTGTAATTTAATTTATAGGGTGTTTTAAAGATAAAATCCTTAAAAAAGAATGTGTAAATTTAAACTTATTTGATGGAAAGTATATCATTGTAATATTTTATTATTATTAACCTTTGACCAAAGCAAGCTACCTATATGAATCAGAACAGAAAAAATTAACTTAGTTATTAATGTATACCTGACTTACCAGTTTAACTAAGTGTGTTAAATGTCATAAACAGAAGCTTGTAATTTCTGTTGCATCTTGATCAAAGAATATATAATCAAATTATACTTTAGGCAGTGCATTATTTTCATTTGTTACTATATTTAATTTATCAGTTTGCATTTAGTTTATAATGCAATTCAAGGTGTTTGATAATTATTTTGAAACTTTTCTGGATAAGTCTCCAAATGTAACTTAGCTTCCAGCCAATTATGTCTCTCAGTTGTTTGTTTTATACCATCTGTAATTTGTAGATTAATTTTATTGTAATTGACAATAATTTATTATCAAAATTATAAATTTCAATGTTTTATGTTACTCTTTTGTTTTACTTTTAACATTTATCGGTTCCCTTAACCTACATTTTATATGCATATTACTTAATCCTGTTATTGAAGTGTTTTTAGAAATGTAATTATGTAAGGAAACCACCCATACTTAATCGGTTCTTCCAACTTTCCACAGCTGCAACATATGTAACACAATATTTTTGATGAATACGTTTAAGTTGTTTGTTCTATGTTATCTAGCTTCTATCACCAGAAACATTTGACCAAAATCATTTTTCAAAATAGAACTTGTCCATATCATTCATAAGATCTTAAAGTGTAAAAAAAGAAAAAACATTACTGATTTTGATATTCATTTTCTTTTTGATGTATAATTAATTTTTTTTCTAAATTAGGTGAATGCCTCATTTCAATTTGATGGAAAAATGGAGACTGTCATGTTTCAGGAAGACGTTTTTGATCCTAGGACCATCGAAGCTACATGTGCTATCTCATCCTGCTCTGATAAAGAACATTTTTTAAACTTTTTTTCCCAAGAGGTTTGGTTATATTTAATATTTGTTTACTCATCTTTTATTGGAATATTCAATAGAACAATTTTACAAAAACAAGTTGGATATAAATGTTGATAGTTTATAGAGTTATCAGAAACAAGCTCTTACAAGAACACAGGTAGAATTAATGAAATTTATAATAGTATGCCTCACTTTGTAGTGTTAAGACCTGTGATATTGTATTCTTGACATTATCCTAAGAATTTAATTGTTTTATTTCATATTAACTGAAGTACGTGCAGCTACTGGAGTTTTTGTGACATGTTGTTTCATTATAACTTAAATATAAAAATAGTCCCACAGTATTATCATGTTAGCACATAGTTGAAACTAACTTAACTTCTATATGTTTTATGAAAAGTTGGTATATTTAATCCATAGCTTCAGTTGGGTTTTCTCTCAATGAAACCACAAGAAGAAGTAAACATTGAAATTTATCTAGAAGTGAATGTTTCTTTTTTTTGCGATTGTTTGTTAAGATATAAGTTGAAAGATAAAATACAAGTTTACTTTGCAAAAATTGTTTATATTGTCTAGGTATTTGGGGTTATCAAGGAAAATAATTTTTTGCTTTTTTAAGTAATAGTTAATTCTTTAAAAAACCATAAATGTGAAATATGATAATATGGCTATTTACATTATTTATTTTATGTCATAACATTGGAATGGTAATTAGGTATGTAACGTTTCACTTTTAATTCTTTTGAAACTTTAGCAGTAGGTTTACTGGCTAATCCATGAATACAAATGCCTATCTCAAGTACATCTATATTTGTAAAATCTTTATCAGTTGTGTTTTCTTGGCTACTAATATTGATGTGAAAGTTCCATTTTGTTTATTACTACTATCTATAAGTATGCAACTCATATCTGAAATATTTAATTCTATTGTGAATTGCTCTGAGGTTAACACATTAATTAATAGGAATTTTACTACTCTGCAGTTAATATGTTTTGAAGCACGATGGTATAAAGAAGTTTATAATCTTTTGTAGGATATTCAGCTTTCTAGAGATGTTATTTTCTTTGGGAACATCCCTGTTAGGGCCCTGGAAAGAAGGATTGTAGTGATAACTAACAACTCCATGCGAGATATTCACTTCTTCTGGCATCCAGTAGACATTCTAGGAGTGGAGGTGATAGAACTTAAAAATAGGTTTATGTATATTTAAATTAGACTATATCTTAGTAATACCTTAATGTATGAATATCATATCACAGAAAACTGATGATGTACCTGTATATCTTGCTAAATATGTGTGTAGTCTGTAACTCTGTGGCTGAACCTTTTAATTCCAGCTATTTTAATGTTGGAATTTTAACAAGCTTCATCTGAGGTTTATCTTGAATATCCTGTGTCAATCAATATGCTATTTTTCAGTTTGGAACTTTGATCAAATATAAACGTGCGTACATTTAATAATATTGATTTGGTATGACATTTATGTAAAAGAACTTTGAGAACCTAAAATTTCTAACTTATTTTGATTTATAATGATTTTTATATTGAATTTTAGATTGAATTGTTTAGATTCTTCTTACATTTTGAAATTTGCTTCTTAGCTCCTGATTGATCCAAAACAAGGACTCCTGGCAGCAGGTGACAAAATAACTTGTAAAGTAATGATATACTGTATATCAGGTCCAACTATAGTGGAGGTAGACTTATGCTGCACAACAGAGGTCAGCTAAAATATTTAAATTTTAGTATATGTTTGGTAGTTTCTTATTGAATTGTTAAATTTGGCAGTGTTTTAATAATAAATGTGCTCATTTTAGGTCACCTTTGTTAATATGCTACGTCAGGAAGGTTACAACATTTGACTTCTCTGCTTTCTCCATTAATGGTTGTTTTTGTAGCTTCTGCTTCTAAGGATGGAGTTGTGAATAATAAGTGTGTTCTCGGACATACGTACATATATACCTCTGCAGTAAAAGTTATATATTGAAAAAAATCTATCTTCGCATTTATTTACCAATCTATTATCAAATGTTATGCAATTCAGTTTGAGTATCTATCATTTAATACACTGGATTGTAATATCATATTAAAAATCATTCATTTTTTTTAAATCATATTTTCAAGAGAGAGAGAGAGAGAGAGGTTTTGTAATTCAATACTCTCATTTTCATGCTCAAGCTTTTGCCTAACAAAATGATTTGGAAATTAAAAGTATGAGATATGAAACAGGTACACTGTTACAATTATTAGAAGAAATGTTGAACTTGCATATAGTTTTCACTGCACTGAGAGAATGATGACCTAATAGGTGAGAATTAAGTGTATAATTCTTACTTCATATATTCTTTTAAAATTACAAGTTTCGTTAATACTTTAGGTGTACTATGTGTTTTATTTTTGTAGGTGTTTATATCTTGTTTTATGTAATCTATACCATTTATTGCTCATAACCTATTTCCTGCTCCTTTTTGCTTGTGATCATCATAGGTCTGATGTTTTTGCCCTCAACGTATCATGTGTTCTTTATCACCGTACCTCTGTTATCCTGTATCCCAATCGTAGTTCTTCCCAGGATGTCAGTTGCTTACAACGGTGATATCTCCTTTCCAACACTTTCCCTATCTTCTATTTCCTATTTATAATCCTGTTCAGATTTTATTAGAATTCTATGTCCTGTGCCTGTTCTCAGGTGTTATATTACCCACACACCTTCTTTCCGTGGCTTTCATTCCTGTTTAATTTTTTCCATTGGAACCCTTCTTCTTCAAGAGATATTTCACCTGCCACCCTCACAGGTTGGATTTGCCAGATTATCAAATTGGCTTATTCTTTCTGGTTTCCCTATTCCCAACGTTTTTTCCAGGTGTCATCTCATCAAATATAGCACTTTACCTTTTTACCTGACTTTTCATTTCTGTTATTCTTTGGAAGACATCAACCAGGCTTTCCTGTGGACCACACCAACCACATTCATCTCATTTCCTGCATCATGTGTCCATGTCTTCCTCATCTGGATATTGCATACCACTTGTTACCATACTCCACACATCAGGTCAAATGTGAGTGGATAAGTTTTTTATATTTCTATATCTCCCTTGCAGGCTCACAAAATTTTCTATATTGTATCCCACTCTGTGGTGAGTGGTGCCTGTCCAGGTATACTAATTCTTAAATCTGCACTGTATGGCCTTTAAGGTCTATAATGCTCACTGTTCTGCAAGATTGGCTTGCTTGTAGGTTCATCTTTGTGGTGTGTTGCATCACAGTTATGCTCATCCCAAACTGTACACTCATGGACTAGCATGTGTAAAGCAGGGAAGGGATTATTGCCCATCTCTTCATTCCTGGCTAGATCCTTCAGGTTTGGTCTGCTTTTCAAAATAGGATCCAAGGTCATCCATTGTACTTTCTCCAGTAATGCATTTCTCTGGACTCCCCCCCCTCTTCCGGTGGAGTAAGGGAATCCTTGTCACTTACCAGCTCCTAGCTACCGGGGTAGTGGACCATGGAGGCTTCCTCCTGGGTATGCTCCTTCCCACTCAGTTGAGAGTAAGGCATTGGTAATCTGCTGGTGTAGATGGTATGTACTCTCCTATTATTGTAAACCTGATGTACAATTCCAGATGCTGATTGGTTTTGGATTGGATGAATCCACCACAAGCAGTTCACCCCTCCAGCTGGGAACTCTCCTTCCTACTGCCACCTGGAGGTTGGTTCCTGGGTGTGCTGGTGTTGGTTGGAGCTGGACTGGCCAACTAAGTCCTTACATATGTGGTTGGGCTGGGACTCTCCTCCTACTGTGGACTGGATGATAAATTTCCAATGCTGCATGATTTTGGACTGGTTTTGTCCCTCCACATTGCATTCCACCTTCCTACTTTTGCCCAGATGTTGGATTCCCTGATGGCTGGTGTTGGTTGCATACTAGGTCTGCTCATATGCTGGCCTGGGTTCTTGGAAAGGAAGTATTCTTTCCTTTCTGGTTTCTGGGTCTGAGGTGAAGATGGTTGGGACCATCTTCCTACTGTGGACTGGATGTTCCATTCCCGGTACTTCTGGTTTTGGATTGGACTTTACCTACCAATTATAGTCCAATGCACCCTAGCCACTCCACACCAACGGTACATCTGTGTGACTATCAGGTGTGCCCCCTTTTCTGCCAGTTTGTTGACATGTTCATTCATCAAGGGCAATGAGTGTGTGTTTCTTCTTCATTGAGGTGTCACACTACATGAGTTTTCTTCAGATGCTTTCTGAGGGGTGCTCATATAGGTAATTTTGCACTGGTCCCTCCACCAGATTATTGTGGGATTCTAGCTATTATGTGAGAGGAGGTAAGATATCATATTGGAAACTATAATTTACCTACACTGAAAATGTTTTTCTGACAGATACCTACTGACAGAATCCTCATTTCCAGTAATTCTTTTGTACATAATCTTGAAGTGAAGATTGTGTTATACAGCATAGAGGGAGTCAGCTGTGTTAGGAGGCTGTGTCACACTCCTATTGGTGGAGGGTTGGAACATGCTTATTTGCATGCTACAACACAGTAGTACCTTGTCAAAGCATGTGGAGGTAGATGGGAGTATCTAGACTAGTGGCACTAAAGCTATTATGTGAGAGGAGGTAATTACCTATCGGAAATACATTTTCAGTGTAAGAAAATTATAACTCACACTATTGTGTGCTAGCAGTTTTTTCTATAGCCTTCTAAGTTTTATTAATGAAACTGCAACACTAACCAGAATTTGCTAGTTAATTTCAAGTTATCTTTTCTATGAAATAATCTAGAACAGTACCACAATATAAATGAAATAATATATTTTACTGAATAAAAAGGTAGCTAAAGCAAAGTTTTTATTTATCACAGTTTTTATTTTACAATATTGATATCTATACTTTTTATTTGATGACAAGGTAATAATAACCCTCTGACCAATTTTCAACCTTTTTTCTTGAAGGCAAAAGAAAAACATGATCCTTGGAATTGTAATTTTTTCAAATTTTTGAATAGCTTTTTACCTTGTGGCTCCACGTATCTGCATTCATTCATTCCATCAAAAGTTTTTCAGCAAAGTTCCCCAATGATATCTTCAAGTTTTTTATAAAAAGGTAAAGTTCAAAAGTTTGTCTTTTTTTATGTTGTTTGTACTGTTATTGTCTAACAAGCTGAGGTACCCTTAATTTGTCTGAGTTATAAACTTAGAAAAAATGTGTGGGTGGATGCTATGATAAATGACAAAATCCTAACTTTCACACAATTTATTTATAATATAAAATATTATTACAGTATTCATTATTACCTCACCAAAGGTTTTGTATAAGCTTTAATAACTCAATATGTATATACTAAAAGCATGGTATACACTGTGCGATGGTCAGGTTGACTTTGTAGGAAGAGGTATCAGACAAAGTAGTGGCAGTTGGTGTGCTATCTGTTGCCTGCTTTTAACACCCACCTCTTAATGTCCTTCTACAGTGTTTCACGTAATTAATTAATGGTCATTGGCTGCAGAAGTATTTTACAGGCTGAAGTTGAAAGGTCATGGGTCAAAGTAGGAAGTGGGTATAACTCAAGAAATGGCTATTTGTATCAACCTTGTGGTGGCTGTTGGAGTAGAAACTTCAGCTGAGTTTATGTATTATTGCAATAGTGGTGGCCATTTTTTTCATTGCATTCCTTCTGAGATATATAAGGTGTTTGTGTGCTCTCCCCCCACACTGTGTGTATATTGTGTTATAGAAAATTGAATAATTTCTGTGTGCGTAAGGATCTGGTGTCATCTATGAATGTAGTTAACATTAACTTATGTCAAAGATAATAAATGCTCAATAACAGTAATAATGAGGGTGGAGAGGGTTATGAACCTCCATTAACATGTCCTTTGTTCCAAACTATCATCCTACAAAGTTTGATTGAGATTGGCCCAGTGACCTGGGAGTAGTTAGATAACATACAGACAGACAAAGACTTTTTGCTTTATATTTATGTAGAAAATAATATAAGAGGTTTTAATTGTAAAATGCTTTGTTTAATAGTGAAGTTCTGTAAATTTTTATTTAAAAAGCTGCTTGCAAGCCGTAGAATGAAAAAATAGAAACAGTAATAATTATATTTAGAACACAAGCATGATAACTTATAGGAAACTACTTTGTCTGGCTCTGAAGTGTCATATGTTATAAATAAAAGAAGTGTGATAAAGTGTATATATATTTCACTCTACAATTCAAGATGCTCACATCAAAATGCTAGAAATATTCTTCTTGACATACAAGAGATAGACCAAATACAAGTACGTTTGTCTTGTGCAGATGGACTTTAATGTTACTTGGTGTGTTTGTCCATGCACAAAAAATAAATTTTATCATTGTAATTTTTCCAAAAGACTTGGCATGTTTTTTTTAAATTTCATGCAAAATAACTTCGGCTTCTTTTTAAGATACAATAAAATAACATTAATTTTTAAATACATCTCAGCCTAAAGTACATCATTATTTAACTGATTTGGTGGATCAAATTGTGATGTAAAGTGCAGACATGTCATTGCCTATGTATTGTAGACCATTACTTATGTACTGCATGTTTCAGAGGATCTCTAGATACTACCACAGATAACACAACTGAAGTCACACATGATGACAATATACAATATGTGGAGGAAGCACAAGTAATATTTTATGTTCTGGAAGATTTACTGAGGTTAGTAGATATATATAGAGGTTGAATATTCAGATTACCCTAGTTTCTAGATAAGTAAACCAACTGCACTGATTATCTCTAGAATGAATTTGATAAGGAGTATAAACATAACCTTTAGAAGAATAGTAGTGATTTTTTACCAAATATAGCAGGAAATACAAAAAACACATCTATTCTTGTTTTGAAAATTGCAAAAGTATGATATGAAATCCTTTGTATTATCAAGCAGTGTTAAAGGAAGATAAATATAAACCCTTATTAAATGTCTATTTTCTTTTTTTTTATGCTTTTAGGGATGTATTGGAAGACGACATATTCCTGAAAAAGGTAGCACATGTAATTTCCTATCCAATTCCATACTTCATTCAGCTGAAACAAAGTGATATTCAGATAATACCTAACATCAAAGGAGATTCTTCCTCAAATACTGGTAACCAAGATAAGAAAGAGGTAAAAATGATGATTTATTGTCCAATAAGTCAAACTTGTTCTTCAGTGATCATACTTTGGTTATTAGTTGTTGAAAGGTGTTGTGTGTCTTACTGGTGTTTCAACTAATGTCAATATTAACTTCTGATCAAAGCAGGATACCTATGTAGGTCAGAACTAAAAGTATGTACCTAATAATAAACATAGCTAATTACATATAATCAAATTATATTAATCATTGTGATCAGGACGTATTATTTTATCAATTGGGTATTCTCACTATTAACAACATTTTTGGTCAGTAACAATGATTGGCCAACTCCATATATTAATCAAAAAGTTCAGAATAATCATTATTAATAAACATAAAATTAAATTAGAAGTAATAAAAAAAGGAATATAGTGAATATTTTAGCCAATGCTGTGGTAATAGTTTCACACTGTGGTAAGAGTTATATTTGATTCAGCCAGTTTAGTAGATTTAAGTCCTAAATCCATGAATTAAATTAAAAAAGTGAAATAATCTTTATGGTAATAAATAATAATAATAATGAAATTAGAATTAGTTATAATAAATATAAAAAAACAATACTGTTAAAGAAAGGGCTATTGTTGCTAGAAAACTCACTACTCCACTAGCACTAGTTAAGTTCATGTAGCTAGAAATCTGGTTCATTCTTGTCCAAAATGAAAATCATTTCTTTATATTTTTTTTGTATCAGACAAGCTGGAATTATATGGTTGGAACTTTTGTTTTTGTAAATTATAAAACAAACAGGAATTATGTGGTAGGAACTTTTGTTTTTGTAAATTATAAAACAAGCAGGAATTATGTGGTTGGAACTTTTGTTTTTGTAAATTATAAAACAAACAGGAATTATATGGTTGGTACTTGTGTCTTTGTAAATTATAAAACAAACAGGAATTATGTGGTAGGAACTTTTGTTTTTGTAAATTATAAAACAAACAGGAATTATGTGGTAGGAACTTTTGTTTTTGTAAATTATAAAACAAGCAGGAATTATGTGGTTGGAACTTTTGTACTTTTAAATAAGCTATGTCTTAGCTTAGCTAGTAACAACACACACAGTAAGTTCATATGTATATGTTATATACATTCTGTAATTTTAATTTTCTTAATTTCATTTGTATTAGTGTAGTAAACAATGCCTATTAAACTGCTCTTTTTACAGGTTCCTCACACTAATTTTGTTGACTCAGAAGCTAGTGAAGAAGATACTAAGGACATTAACTATGAGTAAGAGAATATATGTTTAAGAGTAATGCTTTAAATATATATCAATTGCAAGTACATTATTTACTGACACATAAAACAGTAAACAAAAAATTTCTGAACAGTTGTAATGCAACTAGTTAGTCATAATGAAAAATAACAAGTTCTATGTAGGCTTCAAAAAAAAGGTATGATCCAATAGCCTGTAGATAATGAAGTTTAATTGTAACATATTCTAACACGCGGAGGGGTTTATCTAGCATGAAGGGTAAATGTGTTTTATGAAAAGAAATGGTCATTATCCAATAAAAATTCTTTAACTCCTCAGTGTTTCACTTTACAGCTTTAATAAGAGGTTGTTTATCTACTGAATACAAGTTTATGCTCTGTAGGGTGTTAACCTATTGATAAATCTGTAAGGTGAAACGTTGAAGAATTAAAGAATTTTTCACTAAATATTCATTGTTTTTCTTCATAAAACACTTAAAGGTGTTTTACACATTGTTAAATCTCAATATTACATATTTTAAACTGTGATGTCCAAATAAACAATGGTTTGTAGTGTATATTCAGGACTAAGTAAGACAGTAATAACAGTCTTTGTAAATTATAAAACAAGCAGAAATTATGTGGTAAAAATCTTTTGTTTTAGTAGATTATATAAAATTTATTGAGTGAACCAAACTGGCTAGATCAATAATCTCTGATGTGAAAATACAAGTTAAAATTAAATTATGTATTAGCTTAGCTAGTAATAACATACAAACACAGTAAGTTCATATGTACATATCACATAAATTCTGTATATTTAATTTTCTTAATTTCATTTACAGTAAACAGTGCTCATTAAACTTCTACTTTTACAGATTCCTCACACCTCATATATATATCTGATAAAAACAAGCTTTGCCGTAAATTGTTATTAACAGAATATTGTTAAGTTTGTTCCAGGGCATGACACAAATTATTTTACTTTTTCAGTTATAATTCATACAGTAGATGAGAAATAAACTACTGATATATACCTTTATATTCTTCATTTGAAACCTGCATCGATAAGTAACCAATATTTTAAGCCACAATTAAAACAACTATAAACTGTACTTTTTTCAAAGACACTAACTAGGTTTAATATACTGAAGAAGCATCGTATAAAACTGCTGCTAAAAAGAGCCTTGATATTTTCACGCAAATCAATGTTTAATGAAAATGTAAAAACGTTTCGTTGTATGTTGGTTATTCAAAACATAACTAAAGTAATTAAAAAAATAATCATCAAAATCATTTCTTAAGTAATTCTGAGAAATCTATTTCAATTTCAAATCTTAATGAAACACTCAATGGAACACTTAAAATATTAACGTACTGTTTCACTGTGAAGTTACTTTGAGAAGTTAAGAAGTCTTTTTACTGTAAAGTGCTTTTCATAGAAGAATAACTAATACAATAAATACTTTAAAACTGAATCATTGGTGTTGACCTGTTGTCATTTTAAAATCTGATGTGCTATTGTGGAACACAATAATTCATAAATTGCAAATTATATCAAATATGTTGTTCTGTATTATTAGTTGAAATCTAATGTTGTAAATATTGTGATAATTTGATTACCTTATGATAAAGATTGTAATAAAAATATTTCAGGAAAAACCTTAATAAAAAAAGATTAAGTTTTGCATTAAAAACAGAAATCACATGTTTTCTATAAAAATATGAAAATTCATTTCTTCTCATTTACAATTTTTGTCTAGAGTATTTCAATATATAACAGAATTATTCCTGAACATGGAAAACAAAAATGTACAGATATTTAAAACTTGTAAGAAAAATTAAAAACTAAATAAATGTAAATGTATAACCTCAAATTTCTGTGAAATGAAGCACAATTTTTCTAAAAAAAAACATTGAAACAAAATCACAAATATATTTTAAAAAGTTTCAACATTTCAGAGACACCTTTGGGACTTCACCTTGCTTATTTAATGACCTGGAGTTACTACTGGAGTCTGCTGTTTGGGATGTTATTCAAGATATTGGAAAATTGAAATTTTAACTTCATATACAGAATATTATATAAAATGTAATTAAAGGTTTTCTTGATGTAATTGTATCCTTAAAAACCATACTCAGTTTTATTAGTTTACCCTCTAGAAATAATTATCGTTATTATTACTGTTTCTTTTTTTCCTTTTAAAATGAAATACTCTAAATTAATATTAATAAGGTATGTGATATGTATTCTTTTTATTGTTTAATATTTGAGAAGCAGTATTATTAAAATGAAATTAGCAATCGACGTGTTCGAAGGAAAACGAAGTTTGATTATAAACAAGA